AGCTTTCACCAATACCGGTTAGGCGGACTCCGCTGAATACAAGAGTAAGACGTTTCCAAACTGCGCGATTAGATGCCATTGCTGATAGAAATAGAAGCCATTTCTTTTTACACCGTCCAAATCCATATATCGCTGGTCCCTCCATACTTTCAAAATTTTTCTTGATTGCATCAGACCAGGTTTATTAACCCTTCTCACCTTTTACACCACCCAGGGCTTAGCAAATAACGAAATATGTATAACTCTTGTGGCTGCAAACATAAATTGTGCCTTTAATGAGCGAAGGCGATACTCTGTTATTGTAGTTTTAAGTGGTATTTGAGCAAGGTAAATGCAATCATGTGAGATTTTATCCGCTCGGTGAACCCGTAAAATGTATCTGAGGCATGAATGGTCAAAGGTGGCTTCATCAACTTCTTCATCCTCCACTGTCATCTGCCATGTCTCGTAGCCATATAGCAAAACCGAATGAATTTCAACCATATGGACGATGAATTACTGGTTCTTCTTTTCCTTCAATTTGATAGGCTAAGATTAGATTTAAAAATTTAAAACTGTTGTTATATTCTTTATAACCTTATATTTACATGTTTAGACTTTGCGAAACCAATTGCTGCATTCACTGATGATTCCCTAGCCAAATAAAATTTTTAGCCTAGCCTAGCCTTTTTTTCTTCCTCTGTTTAATCATCGCTGAAATGTTTATTTTTCAAATTTTTGTTTGTTTCAACAAGTAAATCTATTTTTTGCATTTCTTTTTCAAATTTTAATTTAGGTACTTTATTTAAATGATAAGCATACAATATAATGATAATGATGATAAGTATATTCACACTTTATGGAATAGCAGCCATCCCTTTATTCGTTTTATAAGAGAATATATTGGTACTGTAAAAAAGTGAAAATTTTGCCCAATTTTAGCCAAGCCAATTATTTCAAACAAAAATTCAGAAGGTTCCATATTTAATCTCAAACCTTATCGCTTATTTAACCATCCTTGTACTTTACACTTTTAATTATTTGTGTTTTAAATTATTCATAAATTTTTATCATATATATCCGAATATTTCTTGTTTCTTTTAAGCAAAATCTTCAGTCAATTCCAATGAATAAAACACCAGAAGTACCAAGTGGTAGAACCGAGTGGATAGCAGCTCAGTTGCTACTGTGTTGAAAGACTAGGAGTTCAACTATCTATTATAGAGATAAACCTGCAAAAAAACCGGATTACTATCGGCTCATTGGTATTTCTACGGCCAAATAACTTATCGACATGAACCATGTTAATTAACTAGTGCTGGTAACCTAATCAAAAATGGTAAGCGTTGCCAATCACCGCAGTCGACAAGCGCTAATATTTGTAGTATATCCTTAAGATTGTTGTCAATTCGTAAGGACGTCAGTCAAGAGAGCACAATATCCGAGTGCCGTGTTGTTTCTGTTAAGATCATCAAGGGCTCGATCCATGCGCCTTTATGGGCAGCAATTCAAAAAATTGTCTCCCTGAAGGATTCCGATTCCATCCTAATTAGTAGAGTTAGCCAAATGAGGAATGGAAATGCTTGTTAATAAAAAGAATTAACCATATTAGTTAAATAATTAAGTTTATACTTCTCGGATAAAATTCCACGTCCACGAACAAAGAAATGTGGTCACGTATATTAGCCCGTATAACCCCGCAGAATTAAATCGAACGGTTGGCAATTGAGCCGGTGATCGTAATTTTTAAATTTTCTTTGCTATCAGAATAGAATAGAATTTTTCATAAAATTATTCAATTTAAGAAAAACATAATAAATTCGTAAAAAACTATTATTCCAACCAAATATTTAATATTTTTATTTTATTTTTGTTTTAAATCTGGAAAAAACTAAGATAAATTATAAAATATACTTGTGGTTCCAATAAGACAATATAGATTTCCCAGGAGAAAAATCGCATTGCTTGTTAAAATTTTATTTTTGCCTCTTTTTTTTCTCTTTATAATCCCACGAGAATGGCAAATAAATACCAATATGTAATTGAGATAAAAACTATATCTTTGATAAAAATAGAATAGTTTTTGAATTTTTTAAATTTATATTCTTTCTAAAGAAATATAAAAAACTGAGGAAATATCTATTATAAAAAAGACTTAGGAAAAAATTTTTTAAACGATAAATTTTCTCGAAACATTATCCTCGAAATCTCGAAGACCTTTTCACCTATCCAGGAATTTCAATCGCACATTAGGCCATTGAACTATGGAATCGCTGAAATCTCAGAATTTCCAAAAGGGATTTTACAGACCCCACTACGAAAGAAGCCCACGGCATAAAAAATTTAAGAATTCATTAAATCTTTGAATTATCAACAATAACGATGAACCGATGAAAAACTCTACATTATTTAAGATAAGCCAAATATTTTTATTTATTATTTATGAAAGTATTTTTCGAGAATAAAAATAAAAAAAATATAAAGTTTGCATTTACATAGAATAAAAATGATAAGCTCAAAAGAAAGAACAAATGATTAAAAAATAATTTTTATATTTTTATAAAATAATTATTAAAAATTATTTTTAATAATTAAATTTTTGATTTTATTTTTTTATCTTAAAAATTCCGAGCAAAATTTATGTGATTGAAAGTTTGAAATTTATTTCGGGAAATGTTTTAACAATTAATTTATGAAATTAATTAATATTAATTTTTTATAAATTGGTTTTTCTCAAGAGATGTCATTTCACAGTTTTAAAATGAAACGCTAGTTCTTAAGTCTTTTGGTCTGAAATTTTGTAAATTTTCTTTCGTTAAAAACAAAGTCCCAGTGACAAAAGAAGGTGCTACGAACTCTGTGGGCCTTAAACTAGAAAACTGGCTTCGGCAGATTCCACAATATCAGAAATCTATGCTCAAAACAGTGCATTGCTAGAAATAAACTAAGCTATGAGCTCCCAATCTCCCAGGTCTCTGGTACAGAACTCGATTTTAAGGATGACTCTTATCGACAGAGGATGAAATTTTTTTATATAAATAAAATAAATGTTTAAATTTAGAAAATTCAAGAAATAATGAAGAATAATATGAGGAATATCGGAAAAAAAATATCAACAAATATCCTATATTAAGATATAGATAAAGCGATAGGAAAAAAATATGATTAATTATCTACATTGTTATGACCATCGTCAATCGTACCATTTTCTATAATTCCATTATCTTCGACATCCAAATTACCATCAGTTCGTGCAAAAAATTCAAGATGAGGCCAAAGTTTCGTGAAAATATCATAAGCCTACAATCTTTCTTTCAGGAATAATAAATGATTGTTTAAAAAATCATAGCAATAACTAAATATATTTGCAAATCACATTACTCTAAAGGGCCAATACGGCCAAGTGCCTCGTTTTTTGAGAATAAATCTGCCATTAAAGAAAAAAAATCCCAGTGAATCCATAATCTTTACTTGATCAGATAAAATTTTTACTTCTAAAAAAAGTAAAAAAGTGGTTCCCATCTAATAGCCAGAAACAGCTATTAGAAGAAAAAAAGAAACAACTAAGAATTAGCGAAGACTGATATCGATTCACAGATAATCCTGTTCATAATTGCAATATTACTTCTAAATAATTTATCAACCTTGATCCATTTTATTTCTAATTTTTATTTCCATTTTATTTCAGAAGAAACGCCAACGTCAGGAGTAAATATGCACGTGTTTAACGCTTCCTATGCGAAAAATATTTGAAATAAAAATAAAAAAAGTGCGACTTTTCGAAAATAAAAATTTACATTTTTCACAACATTACAGCAATCCAAAGTACCATCAGGGCTTGACACAATGCATAAGTTAGAAGGCAGCAAATCAGAATTGAAAAAATATCGATTAATATCAAAATATGAAGACCATAAAATTTTCGGCCTTTGATCGTCTAGAATGAATAAAAAAAATAAAATAAAAAATTCTAAAACAAAAAAAAACGAATTGTTTTCAATAATTCTCAACGATTTTTTTTTGTCCTATTCATAATGAATTCATTCAATCTATTTATTCAATCATTTTGCCTCATATTTCCTCCTAAAAAAATAAAAAGCAATGAAATATTGTCACATAATGAAGAAATACGAAATCAAATCGACGTGGTAAATAAATAAAATCAATTAAAAATAAAGGAAGAAAAAATTTAAAGTTGAATGTTATGCTAAGAATAAAATAATACTAATATAAAGAAATGCAAACCACAAACCGCAGTTCTCAGAAGAAGCCGAGCAGAATAACCGATTAATTAATTCTGGAAAAAGAATTCGTGAATCTGTGTTTGAACAGCCAATAAAATGACATAAATCTGCAAAAAAAAACATAATTCACTATACAAATAAAATGCAACTACAAGAAATATTTCATATAAGCAAAAGAAAAACCAAGAATGTTACTGAATTCACTGAGTTCAACGAAATAACTGAACAGGACAAATAAGAAACTCTTAAAATATAAATATATATAAAATAAAAAAATATATTATATATTTATAAAAATAAAATATCTTATAAAGTATAAAATATTTAATAAATCCATAGGCATACGGTGATAATGGAATTATAGAAAAGTGTGGGAAATCAGTTAAATGAAAAAATGCTAGGAAAAATAGAAAAAAACTAACAATAATTTTTTGGCGCTACACAGGCCTCGTGTCCTAATTCGAGAACTCTTGTGCATCTACCGTGATTTAATCTGGTCAAGTTCATTAAAGAAAGCTGAAATGAATCTGATGAAACTGAAATGAAATAATAAGCCTCTTCAAAATGAAAAATTTTTATAATACAAACCTTTCCAAATTTTATGAAGAGAAACAAAAAACACTGTTTAAACTGTTTCTTTGAAATACTGTTTTTCGATTAAAACAATATTTTTATGTTTTGACTAAAACGTGTTATATTTAAATTATAGAAAACCTAATAATCACAGAAAAATTAGCAATGAATTTTTGAAAAATTGAATAATAACAATAAAATATATTATAGTAATAATAATAGTACATGTTCTTGATCTTGAGGCAAAACTGATTTGTCTGAAATTATTATAGCTCTTTGAATAGCATTGTTCTCCTCGGGTTTTTTAAGAAATTGCTCCGGCAAGTAGGTTGGATCGATGATTAAATATTTACAATTTATTCTCTGATTCTCGGAAATTACTGCGACTACTCTGTAATCAGAATCCGATAACCAACTAAATCAACTAAAATCAACCGTGTTGATTTTCAGACAGTTTATGATAATAAAATTAATTTAAAATTTGTTAAATAATAAAAGAACAAAAAATATTAAATAATATTATATATTATTTCAGCAGTTTTAATAAAAAAGAAATTTTTTCAGTGAAATTTCAGATTTATCTTCTTAAATTAAAGAGCAAAAATAATGATTTGCAATTAACTTTTCATTAGAGATGACGAATCCTTCTACTTTTCGTTTCAAACAATAGGTACCACCAAAAACGGCACATTTGCGACTGAAACATTGCGCCAAATCTCCACTACCAAACATTGTCCACAAAAATGGAGAATTACCATAGCGTCCGACAGATTGCATAAAGCGAAAAACAGCATCAAGACCCTTAATCATTTATAAATAGCAAAATGAAGACGAATTCAAAGACTAGTTAAGACTAGATTTGAAAATGATCATCAAGCCACACCAATTCTGAATAGCAAAAGCATTCACTATTTATTGCCTAAAAATAAGGTCTATCTGAAAACCTGGCACATAGCTTTGAATAAAAAATTGAGAAAATGATGTTATGCTTGTAATTAAAAATTAAATAATGAAGAAATTCGAGGTATTCTAGGTGTTCAATGTATTTAAGAACTTAAACGCTTCACCTTAGGTTATTTTTATATGAACTGCAGTGCTGATTTTTTCTAAATAAAACTTGGCTTAATAAATCCATGAAAAACTCAAATTAGCAAATCAGCTCAATTTGAAGTAATAAATAAAGATAAAAATGGTAGGAATGTGGTAAAATTATATCATTGCACTAGGTATTATTTTAATTAGCTAAATTATTTTCCAATTGTATTCCCTATTGTATTCTAACATGTATGCTCATTTCTTACCATACTTTACATCGCTTATAAAAACGGTTCATATAGGTCCATATCAACTTATTTAATATTTGACCATACATTACATATTGGCTAAAACACTAATATTTGGAATTTATATTTAGAACCTTATAGAATTACCATTTTCAAGAAAAATATCACATAAATTCCAAGTAATTATGTACCATTTCGTCTGCCTCGCGTAAATATTAGGTTATTTAGGTTCTTCAAAAAATTAAAAAAATAAAATCTGATACATATTTTAAATAGCTAAATTTAATATCTGATATCTGATATCTGATACATATTTTAAATAGCTAAATTTAATTTTTCGTTGTAGCAATTAATAAATTTATTTCTGCTTGAAGCAGTTCGATTGAGATCCGATTGAGATTATTTGCAAAACTGGAATAGGCTTAGGACTGGAATAGGGGAGTGGTACTAACTCACTCTGGTTTCATATATTATCTTCGATTAATTTTAATGCATGTATTATTTATTTCTTTTTTATAATGTATGCAATTTAATCGCAGTTACAGTTTGCAATTATGTATTTGCAATTTAAAACGACTTTAGCATTAAATGATTTATTATTTTTAGCTTCGTTACTACTACTTTACTCCTGTTTATTTTTCTTTTTTTGCATTATTAATTACAAACATATGGCATTCACTGACGTTCCCACTTGTCTTCTGACTATCATAAATAAATAAATTAAACCTCTTTAGTTGTGCTATCCGTTTGAAGGATCCCAATAGCATCCGCGGTCATAGTTTTTAAATTCCCCGACACTCCATGTGATTCCAGAAAAACATCAAATGGTTGATCCATACAATCTAAGATGAAAATAAAGAAGATATTAAATAATCATAAAAAAATAAAAAGATTAAAATTAAATGAAGCCAAGAAAGCCATAATTATGATAATATTATTACTAAGTAAGAATAATACGATGCAATACTAACCACGAATTTCTTTATCATTTTCTTGCCATTCCATACAAGAATTAAAAAACTTCATAATTCGCCTCTTTTCCATTACACTAAAATTCAAATTTACATTCAAAAAAAATTCATTTATATTTATATTTAAATTTGTAAAAAGTTCTTTAAAAATCATCTGGAAACTTTGCAATCATATAGTAACGAAAGGACAATAAAATTTATTTTAAAAATGGTTCATGGTTGAAAAAAAATTACATTCTGACTTCTCCGCTATACTTTAATTTTCAATTTATTGTAAATCATATGTAATATAGGTTTTGCGAAAATAAAATTATGTTCAATTTTCTCGAGAAATCGCAAAAAACAATAAAAATTTAAAACAATACTGCATAATGTATTCAGTATATGTCTATATAATAATAAAAACTAACGATAAAACTTCGCTTTGAAAAATATCAGCCCTTGAACATGGAACGATTTGAAAATTCATAACTGGATTTCCACTGTCCATAGTTTGTCCATCAACACAGTGCAAAAGTCGATCAATACACTTAAATTCACAATATTTTGCAACTTCGGATTGACATAGAAGATCGACCATTGGACCTCTTGAGAGCAAAATCTGAAAGTAAATCAAACAGTTTAAATAAATGCAAAAGTTCTTTCCACAAATGATGTGAAAACTACCAGGCGCGAAAAAATGATTAAGAGCATTTCTTGATTAAGCAAATCATCATAAACAAAAAAAAAACCTACTCGGCTTTGCTCCAAAAATTTTAGATTAGCAAGAAAACCAGAAAACTGTAAAAGATTTTTATTCGAATATAACGTAAATTATTTAATATCGTTGAAAAGAAAATTTATCTGTCCATGCCATTATCTGTTATAACTATCATTATCGAAATCTAGAATGTCTATTCTTGAATCTCTATACGGCCGAATTAGAAAAAGCCTATCGAACAAATGCCTTTAATTTTTTCATCATCTATGTCCATATATTGCTGGTCCTCCAATATGTTCAAAATATTTCCTGACTGTTATAGTCCTGATCTTGACCTCTTGATGATCAAAGATTTATTCAGCAAAGATTTTGGTAAGTAACAAAAATAAATGTCAACTCTTGTGATCGAGAACTCTAATTCTATGATGGTAGCATTAAGATATATGGTACTGAGCGAAGTGGAAGTGTTCAATTTGCACAAAACTCTTTAATTCGAGAAATTATAAAGATAAAACAAAGTTAAACCTTTGGCAAAATATCAATATTAAATTTGCCACTCTGCTTTTCGAAATCAGCTCGAAATGAATCCTCTAAACCATTACTGAAAAAAATTGCATAATCGCATATATTTTTTTTATAGAGTCTTCACTATTATATCTTTATTACTAGTTAAACTCGGTCCATTAGTTTATCACATTGAGCAATATGCCAGGGAATCCCTTAGTAATAGAAATACAGGTGAGCCACCAGTACGGATTTTTGTGCGGGGAATCGAATCACAGCATCGGTGCTTCCAACCGAGCAACAGCCCACTAAGCCATTCTATTTTTTAGAATCGCATATAATATTATTATATTATAATCGCATATTATATCAACCAAATAAAGATTTTTAAGTCTCCCCGAATATTTCCAAAAAATTAAAATGCATGCGGTATTATGGGTTTTGCATAAAAATGGGTTTTATCAACTGAATAATCTGCAATAAAAATGGAAGTTGCTAGCCATAATTTTATGATATAATATAATTTTATATAATTTTATGATATTTACAATTATAAAAATTTTTTCCTATTTTCAAAGAATTTCCTTAAATGTTTTACATTTTGAAATTTAATGGCATAAAGAATTTTTCTCACAGTTTTTTTTTTTTTAGAATTTCTTCAAGTAAACAAAATTGTTCGAAAACAAAGTAAAACAATAAAGTAAAGTAATTCACCATGTATGCCAAACGAGATCGACATTTTTCACTGATACATTATTTCCGAAATAAATCACTTGTTCGTTTTCATTTAATAATGTTGAATCGATCGTTGATTGATCAAATTCTTTTGTCGATTCTTGCGTCTCCATCCATTCATTCAATCCATCAAAATGGAACGAGGAATAAATCCCCCCGTAATAGCCATTCCTGAATAATAAATTGATCAAAAAAATCAAAAATCGTAGTGATGATGATCGAAAAAATTTGCCAATATTTTTGCATTTAACAATAATATAACTATACCTATCAACATGAAGGACTGTAAGTCCAGCTTTGGAACATGCTGCTGCAATAATCGACTCTGGCAGACCAGTTCCCAAAACGAAAACATCCACTTCTGGTGGCAACAAATTAAAGTCCGACATCAGGACAAAATGACAATTTTCTCTGCAAGCGCGCTAAATTAGTGATAAAGAAATATGCAATCAATTCCATTTAACAATTTAACAATGCATCAAGACAGTAATAAAACTTGCTACCAATGACTTATCATTCACTTATCACTGATAAATACATCTATCAACGAAAGTTTATACGTTTTGAAAGCATCCTGAACAATGAACTGCTTTGTTTCTCGTACAGTACTTAGCTATGCGATAAAATTTTCTGTCGGTACTTAAAAACTATTACATTATAGCACCAAATGCGTCAAAGATTTCGAATATGTCGATCGTTCTTGGAAGCACGTGCATCTATGGCTGCAGCGAAAACTAAGCTCGGCTTGGGTTGGGTTGGTGCAAATAATACGAAATATATTACTTAGCAAATATCGATGGAATATCTATTTCGAATTTATGAATTTTATCACTCGTTAGAGGAGAACCAAACCCAAATATTTGGCCGTCAAACGAATGATCTCATTAATTCTATCTCGTTGCACTGTTGGTGATGTTATTCACATAACATCGTAAGAGTGGACGAAATCAAGAAGCCATTCCTTCCTAAGCTCGTACATTTTATTTTCTACCACCGATAAGTAAATAATTTCTGCTTGAATAATAACCAATGACCTGCCTATAGTTCTTCAATATACTGACCACTGTGCTGAAAGAAAAGCGAGGAAACGGTCGTTTCAACCATATATAAGAAATGAGACGGCTTAGGAATGATAAGGAATGATAAGCTTCTGCTGCTCCTAACATCAAATCAAAGTGCTAGTAAATTCACCATCTAGTAGATCAATTATAAATTTGCGCTTTTAGAATCTTTGCCTTTTTTTAAAGAATTTTCACCCTTACTGGCTAAACTCGCTCCGCTGGCTTGTCGCGCTGGACAAATTTGCCAGAGAGACCGTTGACGATAGAATGATTCGCCAGCACCGCCCGGGTTTTTGGATAGGTTTATTTCTGCCGGTTTATTGGTGCTCTGAATTGAGCAACGACCCACTTAACCACATTATTGCCCAATAACTATGGCAAAACCTCAATCTCTCAGGTACAAAAAATTTTCAAAGTCGTCAATCCAACTTTAACTTTAATAATGAAAAAGTCTTATCTAAAAAGTTTTATCAAAAAATTTAGAACGCCTTATATTCATTTTCATAAAGCAGAAGCAACATAAATTAAATATGATTTTCTGTTCATTAAAATTCTTTTTCTATTATTTTATTTTTCATTAAAATTTTTAAATAAAACAATTACTAATATTTTTCTGAACATTATTTTTAATAATACATTAATAACAACAATAAACGCTATCAATTATTGTCTCGAATATCGAACAATTTAAAATAACAACATATATTACTTAAATTTCAAGCAAACCAATCAATCATTAAAACTTCTCCATACTTTAAAAACTATTTCAGTGTCTAAATATATATATATATATCTAAATGAATAAAAACTCGATTCATTACAATATTATATATGAATATAACAACAAAATAAATAATTCATAATAAATAAACAATACTTTGAATGCAACAACAGCAAATGCAAATTCCTAATCCCGAAAAATGCAAACCCGAATCTCAAAACAAACAAATCATATTGCATAAAATCACAATTCCTACTCACTGCACTGGAACAAATTCATTAAAAATTTCATTTATAAAATGGATAAAAATTTAGAAACAATTAATATTTTTTGGAATTAAATTTGTTCAATAATCATAAACAAATTTTATCGTAATATAACATATAAGCTTCAGCGCTGGCAACCTGTGAATATGACACGCGAACAACCTGAAAGGAAACGGAATGATTCGAAATTTTAAACAAGAAATAGCAAATGAATAAACACAAATGAATGAATTAAACGCAAGCATTTTGTTGTAATTTTTTCGTTATGAACGTTAATGCTAAAATTGAACAAGAAATAGAAAACTTACACTTGAATCACTCGTTCTATACCAAATATCTTGATTTTCAGTACCAATTCCTCGCCGGTACGTTATAAAATGACCGGAATGTGGTCCTCCAATATGTACGGAAACTGCTTTTAATGAATATTGATATTTTTTTCCGCTAGTATTAACACCATCATTCATACAACTGAAAGAATTACATTTAACACTCCCAACATAAAAGAAAGTTTCCTTCTGAAATTAAAAAAAGTTAACCCCAAAAATAAAAATAAAAGGAAAAATATAAAAATATAACAAGCAGGTGCGAAAAACAGTATAAAAAATAAAATAATATACCATGAATTTTGAATAGCATTTTTATTTTCATTATTAGTCATATAAATATTTGACGACGAATTAGACGTAGTCTCTTGATTATTACCACAAAATGAAACATTCGACAAGTGCTAAAATCTGATGAATATTGAAGTTATACTGTTAGAACTTTAATTCGAAAAGCAAAATCTTTTAATAATGCTATTGCTTATGCTAATTTATAAAAATGCTATACAAAATTGAAATTTTTAACGTTTATATAAATTCAAAAACGATTACATACGCTCTTTAGCCTTTCTTTTCAATAATATAATTAAGCCAATAAAATCAGTAAAGCGCAAATTTTTGGTATTGAGAAAAAGCAACGAATTTACATCGTTTTTGGAGAAAATAAAGTTGCGAACATCAAGAACGAGAGGAAATGAAACGTAAACCGCTTTTTTTAACGCACTTCCGAATCGTGAATAATCAACTCGTTCAATTCGTAGCATAAGCATTTGAGGTAACTAAAAAATTCACCTTTTATATGTTCAATTATTTTGTTTAATGGAATTCATATGCTTATTTTTTGATTAACGTTCATCAAGTAATTGCAATGATTACTAAAGGTCGAAATTTGTACTATCTCATCAAAATTGATAAAATTGTTAGAGAATTTTTAGATACTTTTTGCACATATAATAAAAAATGATAACTTAAGATAAAATAGATAGTTGAAATCATTTCCAAAGATAGAAATATGAGTAATTAAATTAAATATGAGTCTTTCATTTATTATTCATAAGATAAATAAGGCAAATTTTCAAAAAATGTCTTACTTGATAAAATCCTTGTTTCTTCATTAAACCGTTGACTGGAAGATTTTTTTTCTCACATTCGTCGCACTGCGCATCACTAAGGAATTCCGTATTGAAAAAACGTCGCAAAAGTAAATGAAGAGAAAGGGTCTGAAAATAGCTGAAAATTATACTCCAATAATTATACTCCTTTCGTTGAAAACCATTATTCGAAAAAAAGCCTTTCAGGATAATATAAATCAAACATAAGAATCCTGTTAAACCAAAAAAAATAAATTATCCTTATTCAAAAGCATTTATAAGGATAAAAGACACGAATATAACAGATTACCAACAGCGAAACTATTACAGTATGCTCCCCATTCAATGAAAAGCCCTACCATCACCACTAAATTACGAGGTTTTTTCAAATCAAATGTTTCAAATATTTTTTATAAATCCCAAAAAAAACCAAATAAAAATAAAAAAACAAAGCAGAAAAATATGAAGACAAAATTATACCGACTGATCCAAATATTTGGGAATGCACAAAGAAAGACCACAAAATTTTTCTTTCCGAACTTTCTAAAAAATCGAATTAATTTGCTCCAAACAAAGGGATTAATATATTTAACATGTAAAATATATAATTTTCTAAGAAAAAATCATAATAAATTTACATAATAATGCAATATTGTATTATAGCTATTATAGTATTACCCTTAAATGGTCACGCATTCACCATAAACTGCTTGTACAAAAAAAAATACACGGGACGACAAGTAAGATATAAATAAAAACCTTGTAACGACATTCCATTCTGCAACACTGTAATTGTATTGCAAGCATTCCGGAACAAGGTGGCTTGAAATTTTCCCATTAGCGAGAATATTAAAAAATTAATTCAGCAAAAAGTAAATTATATTATAAGTAAATCTGTATATGTGTATGAAATATAAACAAATAAAGAAAAAAACATGAAGGCATTTAAAATATGAAACCTTAATGCGTTCGAACTGAACTTTGAAATTTGGAGGCGGAAGACCAGAGAAAAATCCAGTTTCATCTTGGAAAGCAATCTTTTTTTTGCTGATAGGTGGAGACCTTTTTATTAATGATGGATCATTGTCTGTTTCCAATTCTAGACTAAAATTATTGTTTGATGGAAGTAAATTTGATTCCACTGCATCTGAATGATTAGAATATTCGCCATCAGATGATTCACCCAAAAAATCAGAATAATTGTCCACTATATCATAATCATTAACTTTATTGCGTAAGCCATTCAACGTTATGACTGAATTATTCACTTTTTTTTGACGAGATTCCTGTAGCGACACGGTAAAATTACGAGAATATAGATCATATTTCTTTAAATTTTTCTTTAAATTTCTTAAAAAATTGATTTTTTTTTCCTATGATATTATTATCGGCTAAAAATATGGATCAATGTGATTAAGATTTTTTAAAAGTGACTTACGAGACTGTTACTTTTATCGGAAGAATGTACTGAATTTGATTGTAAAACATGTATTTCTTCATCCCACGTTGTAACAAATACATTAAATAATTCATATAAATCCTCAAAAACATCCATAAATGTATCCAATGAAAAGTGTGTACGGAAAAATAGGGATTAAATTTAGTAAAATAATACTTGATAAATTTTTTGAATCATTTAACTTTTTTTTCAAATTTTAGGATCCGAGTTATTCTTACAAACCTGTTGATATTCAGTTGGAATATGCCATCTGTGTTCATGCAATGCTTCTATTACATTCTCTGATGAACAAATTAATTGTGCCGAATCATTGAGCTCTCAAGTTGAGAATTTAAAAAAAAATGTTCAGCAATTTATCATTAAAAGAGATAAATTCAAATAATCCTAATATTCATAATATTCATCATAATATTCAAAATAACTTTTAAAAAAATCAGATATATATTTAAAGGGACATGGAAGTGAAGAAATAATAAAAAAAATTACCGAACAAAACATTTTTCAATGAAAATAAAAAATGAGCAGAATCATTTTTCACAATGTTTAAATCGATTGAGGATAACCATTCCAAAAATGCGTGGGAACTGAAATTCAATAAATATAGAATATTTCAAAATGAGGAAAATCGAAATCAAATGGAATAAACAAGATTTTTGTGAAATCTTTAGAAAAAAAAACCTGGCCAATCCCTGCAACAATGCATTAATATAACAAGTGTTTCCCAAATTTGACAAGCCAGGTACAACCCCAAGTGCTACTGAAAAATTTAAGAAAATAAATCGAAGTTAAATTTGACATGGATTAAATTTTTAGAAATTATGATTCTTATTCAGCATTGTTTGATTTAATGCTACGACTGAAAGAATTAAATGATCGCATCTCCACAGAATAAAATAAAGCAGTTCTGAGTTTACTGAGTCTCTATCAGTAAAGAGTTGAAACTGTTAGAATTTTCCATTATTTCCATGATTTTTTCCTAAGACTACTCATTATTTTTGCTTAAGTCTGCTTCGCTGGCTTGTCGGAACGGACTAATTTTGAATTGCCTGACGATATGAATCACCAACATCACCAGGGTTTTCGAAAGAGAAGTTTAGTCATATTACTAGATTTTCCATAATTTAATAAATAATAATATATTGACGATAATTAAACTTAAAGCAATAATAAATGAAATTCATAAAAAATAACAAAGAAAAACTGACAAAAGATTCACAAATAATTTCCAACTATTTTAGCAATATTATTTTATTATTTAATATTATTTTATTATTATTCAAAAGAAAAAAAATGGAATTGAATACAAAATACTGAAATACTTTATTTAACACTTTATCAATTAATACTATTAATAGTAAAATTGATAAAAATAACAATAAAAATTACAAAAATTTGCAGCACCTGAAATTAGAAGAAAAAAACTCGTAATTTTTGCTAAAGGTTTCAATAAATATTCTTAAACCTATAAAACGATATAATAAATATATCGAATAAAATCTAAAATCTAAAAAGATTATATCGTGTGCGGAGATCGAAACAGCTCAATGTGTTCTCGCTTAAATAACTTCATTATGCTTATGTTAAATCTTCTAATTCTGTCTGGAATAAATTTTTTCAAAAATCCATTACTGGAATTTACCATTAACCCAATTGTACTGGTAAAATTTGTCGGAATTAACGCAGCGATGCTTAACCAGAAATGTGTATGTATTCTTAAAAAAAAAAAATCAACAAACTTTTAAGAAAATTTAGAAAAATTAATGATAAATAAATAATAATAAAACTTGGAACTTGGAAAAATCAATGATAAATGATAAATAAAACATTTATAAAATATGTAATTAGATAAATTAATGATAAAAAAATAATAAATAAAGCATTTATAAAATATATAATTAGGTAAATTAATGAAATAAAACTAAAAAAATTAATGATAATAAATAAAATATTTATAAAATATTTGAAAAATTTATATTACTTAGATAAATTACATTTATATTACTTAAATAAACTAATGCTAAATAAAGATTATATTTATATTTTACTATTACTTATTATTTATATTACTTCGATAAATTAATGATAATGATAAGTAATAAATAAAATACTTATAAAGTATATATTTAATATTCAATCGATTTCCTAATTTCTATTAGTTTTATTAATTTAAATTAAATTAAAATTAATAATAAAATGAATAAAAATGATGATAAAATTATAAAAAAGAAACAAACTTCTAAGCGTTTGATCGATGGGTTTCCTTCGCGAAGTGATGTAAAAATAACAAACCGCACCAATAAAGCTCGCACCAAATAAAACACCGGTGAATGTCGTTTGATTTAAAACCATTAAAATTTTACGTAAATTCAGCAAATCCATTCTTATATGAGCCATTTCAAACATAGAAACATCATTCAAATGATGAAATAAAAAAAAAGATATTAATTTGGATGTATTTATAGCGAAGTACAGGCATAAATTCTCTCGCTAACCCCGCCTACATTTTTGATTTTCAATCCATCAATTAATTCCCGTAAATCAAAGGGAAATCAACAACAGTAATGAAATATCAAGATTCTCCAGACTAAAGAATCTTTTAAGAAAAAATATGATTGATTGTTTGGATAAATGGTCGTGGAACTGGTTTCTACGGATCCTCTGGACCCATGGTGACTCTCGGGAGGTGCCATTGGAGCCTATTGCGAATCATATATTCTATAAATTTATTTTAATGGTACAATTACTTTATTTCTGAGTAATTACTCTTTTTATTATCGGCAACGATTCATCATCTTTATTATATTGTAAAATTTTTTAATTTGAAGATTGCCTTGACGGTCCTCCATCGATTTTTATGAGATCATTTAGGGAGAAAAAGTGTTTGGCTATTGATTTAGAGTTTTCATACATAGCCTTTATTTTTACAAGAGGAACAGGCTTGTTTCACTATCTAAGGCTTGTCATTTCAGGCTCGTTTCACTATCTAAGGCTTGTCATTTCAGGCTCGTTCCACTATCTAAGGCTTGTCATTTCCGGCTCTTTTCACTATCTAAGGCTTGTCATTTCAGGCTCGTTCCACTATCTAAGGCTTATCATTTCAGGCTCGTTCCTTTATCTAAGGCTTATCATTTCAGGCTCGTTCCACTATCTAAGGCTTGTCATTTCAGGCTCATTCCACGAGCTAATTAGTATGAAATATAGAAATTAGAATTGTTTACAGTACCAGTCCTGTCAGGAATAAGAGTCGAATTATGAAGGTAAGGAGGGTAAGCAGTGCCATTTGATTATTTTATACCTCCAACTAGTAATAGGATTTTAGTTATTTTTATGTGATGTAAATTTCGTTAGAGAATCACTCGGCGACAAAAATATAGTCGTCAACATCAGAGTGTTCACAAATTCATTTCTACTTGGCATCAGCATAGCCTTTTTGCCACTCCTTGTCAAACTTAGTACCACTATTCTATTCCTTTGAAGCTTTACTATTATCGCAACAGATCCGACCTATTTACCATAAATACATTCTAAGCCCCTAAATCGCCGCCAATCTCACAATCGAAGCATATGGCACTTCTTACATATTACTTAGGCTGTTATACAGAACTCCAGTTTGAATCGAATTATATGAAGGGCATCGGCGCTATCTCGTTTTGTAGAAGGTTCAAAGGGCAATTGAAATCGGTACCATTCTTCAAGGCGGGGTACCATCTTATCTATCAATCATTCCGTTCAATAAAAATCAATCAAATTATATAACATATTTATGTAAAATTATATAATTCGCACTCACTCTTTAATATTCCAATGATCATTATTTTACATATTAATGCCTCTAGAAATTCCTTTTAGAAAAAATAAATAAGAATCAAAATAAAATAAAAATTAAAAAGAAATAAAATAAATAAGAATGAATAATAAGCAATAAAAAATGAATAAGCAATAAATAAGAATAAATAATTAAATAATTTTATAAGATGGAATACGATGGCTATAAAAATTTGCGAGACAACTTTGTCCACTTAGAAACTATTTGAATCTACAGTAAAAATTTTTGCAGCTTTTCATATAATTCTGTAGAAATATACGAATTTTATACCTTTGTAATTTCTAATTTTAAAAAAAGAATTTTGTGAAAAAAATTATTTTAAAATTTAAAATCTTTTGAAATTCAATTCATTACAGTATATTCATATGAATAACTTTGTAAATAAATTATTAGTTCGAGTGGATGCATGAAAATAATAAAAACTTATATTTTATTAATTATTCCTATAGTTCAACATTAAGTATTTTACATAAGTAATGAGAAACGGCTATCGATATTAATGAAAAATTCAAAAAATTAAATTATTTATTAAAAAAAATAAGAATAATAACGTTAATTCAACATTTTCATAGCCGATGAAAGTGGAGGATATTAAGAAGTTGTCTGCCTTTGACTACTATTGTCTAAGGTTTCTAAGGTACATTTTACGTACCGTCGAGCGGATAAGATATCACATGATCGCATCCAGCTTCGCTCAAAACTATCTGCATTAATAATACTATCATTAAGCATCGCCTTCGCTGGTTAGGGCACATCACTCACCACAAGAGTTGATACATATATCTTTACTTACTAAACCCTCCCATGGATGGCGTTAAGCGAAGAAGGCCAATCAAGATCTGGACTGATGCAGACAGGAAAGATTTTGAACCTATAGGCGATATATATATTTAAACGATGGAAAAAAGGAATGGCTTCTATAAATATCGACGATGGTCATCTTAGAAACGCTTTGACCTTTTAGCCATCTTAACCAGTAATGGTGAGAACTATTTGAAACAGAATTTAGCATTTCGAACTTATATTTTTTTTTAATGCGTTTTTAAAATTAATATACATGAAAATATTTTTATTGAGAAATTGCAAAACATCATTATATAAAATAAATTATATTATTATAAATATATTTTATATAATATTAAATATTATATAAAATATGCATGAAATTCGAAAAATGAAATAAAAATTTTTTTTCGCCCAACTTTATATGTACACATGATGCAATTTAAATTGTCTCCTACATATCGAAGCAAAAATTGAATATAGAAAAGGAGAAAATGTCTCTTGAAATGTTGTTCGATACCTCGATGACATACAACAAAATAAGACAAAACCGATATTACAGTTGATAAGTGATAATAAATCAAGTAATTCTCCAACATATATGTAAATATATTTATGCACATCGGATGTATAGACTGCATTCAATATTGCTAGTGCTCCTATAAAATAAAATAAAATAAAATTTATTGTTATTAGTTCAAATTTTATGGAAAAAATTTCTATATAGTTGAGTGATAAGAAATGGAATGATATGGTCAGAGGAGATTTTAAACCGATAGACAGCCTGGCAATGCACTGGTTTAGATGGTTGAAAAAGGAGGCGACTTTAGTCATTCATAGAAATGGCATCGGATTAATCGTATCGTATTTAATCCAAGTTGCTAAAAGAAAAATAAAAAGAATATTATCTTTAATGCACCTATAAGATTTATCACAAACTTATCATAATTTATCATAGACTTACCATAAAACTTGCAAAGCTTCATAGAAATATTATTAGCTAAAAAAACAAACTGAAAACCTTGAGGTAATTCGGTGCACAAAAAAATTGAAAGCAAAATTATAAGTATTAATGTAGTTCTATCAATTGCTAGTCGCCGATGTTTTCCACCCAATAATAGAATTCGTTTTTCACTCATTTTACTCAATTTATACATTAATGAAACTGTGAAAATAAACAATAAAATGCATGGAATTACCTAAAATTTTTTTTATACGCAATATTTTCCTTTTATATACAATAAAAAAATAGCAAAAATATTAATTATTTAATTAAATAATTAAATAAAGAACTATTTATAGATAAATAAATAATAAATAAAACAGTAGCTAATAACCATTTCGATATAAATGCAGTTATATAAAATGCAGCATAAATAAAATAAAAGCTAATAAAGACTAAAAAGATTAATTTAATTAAAATTAATAATATTGCTTAAACAAACAAAAAAATCTGCGGAAATGATGGAATAGTTTTGGATTTTTTAATCTATTTTTAACTTTATTTAATTCCCTCAATTCAATTTTAATATTTTATTATGTAAGGAAATAATTAACTGTAAAATTGTACTATCATTTGTACTAATGGTAGGTTTAGCAGATTAAAACATTGATAAAAAAAATTAATAATAGCAATTAGTAATTTCAATAATCAATAATAATAATGATAACAATAATAAATAATAATATTCAACAATAATAATAATAGTGAGATGGTGATAATAATGATGATGATAATAATAACGATAACAATAATAAATAATTATATTTATAATTATTTATATTTATATTTATAATAAATATAATTATAATTATATAATAATAATTCTAATAATTATTAATTCATTGCAAATTTAAAAGAATCATTAATACGATATATTTCGTAGAGAATAGTTTAAAGTCTTCAAATTTTTGGAATACTGACGAACCTTGAAAAAAATTCCATTTAACCACAAAGTGGCTTTAAATAATCGACAGGAATTACCAGTGACCTGTGGATTTAACCGAACTGTATAAAAAGTAACGCTTTCGTTATTAAGTTGTACTTCTGCTATTGGTACTATTTGATGAACCAAGAACGTTGGTATTGATAAAACTGATATTATTGAAAATATTATTAAAAAAATATTCCTGAAAAAAAGCCTTTAATTTTCTATTTTTTCTTCTTTTAGGAGCCTTCACCATTAGTTGTTAGGCTCATTGGCTTGTCGCACTGAATAAATATGCCAGTGATTCCCTTGGCGATACAGCTGAGTCGCCAGCATCATGCGGATTTTTGGACAAGTTTATTCCTGCGAGGAGAAGAGCCTCAGCATCGGCACTGATTGAGGAACAATCCATTGAGCCATTCATTCTATTCCTAACTATTTTCACTTATTATTGAAAATATTATAACAAAAATATCATGAAAAAAACCTTTAACTCGCTATTAATTTAATAAATGCTTTTTAATAAATATATTTATCAATAAAAAATAAAATTTAGGGAAAGTGAATGGCTCAGTGAGTTGTTGTTTTCATGTCTTTTAAAAATCCAAATGATTAGCGACTTAACGATACTGCCAAATGACTCTTTGGCTGAACTTACCGGTCCGACAAGCCAGTGGATCGAGCTGACCAGAAGTGGTGAGCACGAAGAGAAATGAAGAGTTGTGGCATTCCTTGTTCAAGGTGTTAAAAATTTCTGTTCGATATATTTTCATAAAAATTATTTTTCGTTATTTTAATAAAAACGCCTTGAAAAATTATCAAATGAAATAAAATTTTCAATCATCTCGAAAGGAAAAATTTGTGAAATGGGAAAAGAGCCTCAGTTTAAAAATTTATTACACTCAAAAATCATAAATTAGACATTTCTCAAGTTCGTTCGCTCGAACTCAAAAATTAAAGATGTCAATAACAAATTATTCAATCAGCCGGTGAATGCGAGCTATTAAATGTTTAATTTCGAAGCAATAAGCAAACAAACCCAACAGGACGAGACGTTAGCCACTTTGAATTGAGTTGATATAATACAGCCAATCTTATATAAGCCATAACTGCAGATAAGTATAAATCAATGCTATGCAATATTATGCTTGATACGACGTGAATAAGTAGGAAAACCAGCCATCCATAAGTATATCTGATCATTATGAAAAATTTATGTAAAAGGTCAAAAAAAGTTGAATTTTATAGAAAATGGAAAATTTAAAATATAATATGGTGAGTAAATATGGTGCAAATTTAGAATGAATTAAACTTATAAAAATAAGCATTCAAAGAATTTGAAGAGATAAATTTGATAGATTTTTGATAATTTGAATTTTCGATAAAATTATATATTTGATAAAGAAAAAGTGAACCCGTTTGTTCGGCTGCTATCATCAATAAATCGAAATCTAATAATATAAATTAGATAAAAAGCCATAATCACTATATCACAAGTTGCTATTAACGATAATATAGTATTTATTGCAAAAGAACGCATATTCTTTCTAAATTCACAAATTTTTAAACATAATCGCAAATATGACGAGATTTCATGATTTATTCTCAGTCTCTGAAGTTAATCTCGGAAAGCAAACGAGCCTACGTGAGTGGGCTTTTGCCCAAGGGCCTTTTGCGGAAGGATAAACGGCGATCGGGATTCGAATATCGATTGTGGGTCATAATGACCAATAATACCATTTTGAACCCCTATAGGCACGTATACTTACACGAACTTTCAAACATTATTGATAAATTTCATAGATAAAAATTCAAATTAAGAATAATTGAACAATGTATTCTTTTTTTGAAAGAATATTAGCACCATATGGATTTTAAAATTATTTTTGTCACTTTAGATTACTTTTAGTAATTCTATTAAATTATTGTAAAAATTTCCTTTTATTTTTATGAAATTTGGAATCAAATAAATTATGAGGAGAAATAAAATAAATGAAATAAATAAATTTAAAATAAATTTAGAAATAAATTTATTTTATCGATTTTGAATAAAAATTTTATTTTTTTAAACTCAGTATTTTATAAAATGATTAGCCATTTTAGTAATTAAAGCTTTATCTTATAAAATGTTGTAAAAATTCAAAAACTTAATTTAAGCGAGGAATTAATCAAAGAATACCTGGTTAAAACAATAATATGTGCCAGATTAATAACAATTCCACATAAACAAATAAATACACAGAAATAACGATGAAATACTGTATATATACTGAAAATGTGAATAAAATGTTATTATCACGAATATGAGACACTGATATGATAAAATTTGACGATAAAGCTAATGCTGTTTGTATGACTGCAAGCAAGGTGGAAATATTGGAGCCACTGCACCTGCACCTTTAGCAACCAGTTAGGAAGATCTAAGTGCTTTACTTTAGTGGTAATGAATGGAGGAAATCGTATATCAGAATTGATTCATCTTTCTGGAAAGGGTTGAAGAAAGAGGTTTTACAATGAACTAAGAGGGAGGTGAATGAACCTCAACTAAATAAATTATCAAATACCATACTATTTCTTCATTAACGATCAAAAATTCTTTATGAGAAAAGAAAAACAACATTATTTATTTGATGATCTATCAGATCTTTGGAAATAGCTTTAAATAATTTGATTAATATTTAATGAGAATATAACAAAGAAAATATTTTTCCTATACTCATTAAAAATAACTAAATAACTAAAGCCAAAAAAATGATTTAAACTTCAGTTTTTCGCAAAAATCTAAAAATTTTATAATTTTTGAATTAAATTTTTTTAAAAAGTAGAATTTTTTAGCTTTTAAGAGAATAAATTTTAAATAGGTGAGTCGTCAGTACCACTCAGATTTGAAGAACCAACCGGATTTCTGAACAAATCTTCTTTTGCGAGGAGCAGGGCCTCGGCATCAGCGCTTTTCAAATTTTGAAATTCTTAATGGCAAATGAATTTTTTTCAAGAAAGCATTGTTAGTTTGCAATAAAATCTGCTTTTTTTTTAATTTTTCATTGTTTTCCTTTTAAAGAAAGATGAAATTAGTTGTAAGTTATTAAGTTAGTTGAAAAAAATATTAATATTATAAATGTATTATATAAAAAAAGTAAATAAATAAAAATATTAAAATGTATAATATTATTAAAAATATTATATTAAAATATAAATATTAAATATTAATATTAAAAAATAAAATATTAGGAAAAATATTAATCTTAAATATTAAAATATCAAAAAATATTAAAAAATAAATGCTATCGGCTATTTTACAATTTTCTAACTTATCCATTGCAAAAAAAAGTTCTGTAACTCCGAGTAATTTATTTATTCATTTATTTTCAATATTTAATTTTCTTAATTTCTAAAAATTTTTAAAAGTTTTATATTTTTTCAATAAAACTTTGCATTGCTTTTAAATTTAGGAAAATCATATTTTATTCTATTTTTTTCTCAATTGGCAAGAAATTTTATAAAATTCTGTCTTAAATCTAATTTTATAAAATAAATTTGAGTATGTTAACATGCATTTTATGGTTGTGTGTTAGGCTTCGATTTAAGCCGTTCGATATTAAATTTTCACATTAAACGAATAAAAAATGCATCTGTAAAAACATGAATTTTCATGGATAAATTACGCTTTTTTTCTCAGATATTCACTAATTAAATTGCATATAATTATAAATTTTTATAAGGCTTAGCTGCTTAGCTTGAATTTGTAAAGAATATTACTCATAAATTTATTATAATAATTCGAGAAAAAAATAAGCTTATCGACTATATTCACTCGTTTTTTTTTAAAATCAAATTTTAAATTTTCAGTATTTTTTCAATTATTCGAAGAAATATATAATATATATATGGTTGTTATTTCTTCTATCTTTTTACACGAATGCATAAAAAATATTATTTTTATTAAAAAAGGAAGGAAAGCAAAATTTAATAATGAATTAATGTTTAACTTACCTGCTAAATTGATGAAGTTGATAAACAAAGATTCGAGTAAAATTATAATTAGTGAATAATGGCTTGTCACCTTCACAAATTTCGTTCATTTTTCAGTAATAATAATAATAATTTCAATAGCAATAATAATAATCAAAACAATAATAGTAATTTGATAGCGATAAATTTTTGATTATAAAAATAGATTAAACTATTAATTTCTATTTGAAATTATTTTTCTTAGAATTTTTATATTCAAACATTTCGTTTCTCTGAAATATTTCATACTAAATTGAAATTTTTTTTTTTATTTGCAATATAGCAAATAAATTTGGTTAAAATATATTTTAATCATTAATCATTTTTAATCATTTTTAACGCATAAAATAAAAGTCAAACGCTCATTATATTTCATTGGACTCGCCTTATCGAGCCAAACGAATTTTGCTAGGAATTCACTCAGCGAAAGAAATATAGGTGAGTCGCCAGTCAGAAAACTTCTTTAAAAGGCTAAGTTCTTACTCTTGTCGAAAAGAAAATTCCAGGCTAAGCACTTCAAAGTTAAAGCAATAAACCGATAAACTATTCGAAAATTTATTTATTTATTAATGAAAAGTTGGAATAGAAAAAAATTATTTTATAAATTAAACTTTTATAATTCAACGAGTTTTTTTCTAATATACTTTTTTACAAAACTAAAAAATGCTACTTGCTAAACCTTGCGATGGATAACCTCGCGAAAAGCCAAGTAAGCCAATCAAAACCTGGACTATAACAACCAGGAAAAATTTCGAACGGATAAGTGGACCAGCGATATATGGACATGTAAAAAGGAATGGTTTCTAGAACGAGCAGCGATGGCATCACGTCGAACAGCGTCTTACCCTTGCAGTCAGCAAAACCAGCATAACCAGCCAGTAACAGTGAGATGATGGAGAAGAAATTTAAAAAACCCCTAATAGATCTCCAACTAGAGTGAATCACTAAGCTGGTGCTAATGATAAGATAATTGCGAATGATAATAGGATTAAGTAAAATATGGAAGAAAAATATAGAATATCAATTATCAATTTCTGCGAAGAGATTGAAATTTTAAGGTAAATTATTAACCTTAACCTTATTAATTATTAAATTATTATTAAAATAATATTATTTGGTTGCTTTTGGTCACTTATTAATTCATTAAGTAATAAAAATTTACTAAAAAATTTATTCCATCAATTCTACTAATAAGGAAAAATTTATAATAAATTTCATTTATTAGCAGTGAGAAAAAATGAAAATCGAGTAGTTTAATTATTTTTTTCGACAAAACAAATACCGATTAGAATGAATTCAAATAGTAATTTATTATGAGAACGAAAGAAAGTTTAAATTAATTTCTTATAAAAAAAAAACTTTTAGTGTAAAAAATTATAAGATCACAAGTAATTTTTTTGCTTTTTTTCTACAATTAATCTAATAAAATAGCAAAAAAGTGAAAATTAAAAAATTAAAAAGAAGAAAAATTAAAAATTCCATGTTATTTAAGAATTTAAATTAATAAAATAATAAATAAATTAATAAAAAATAAATCAAAAATAATTTATGAAAAAGAAAATGAGAATTTTAAAAATTAAATGCTATTTAAACGAATTTTAATTTTTCATTTTTTTATTTTTAATTCAAAAAAATTTCGATGAAATTCAAAAAATTGATAATTCAAAATAAATATCTTTTGAAGTTTTATAATTAGTTGTAATTATTATTCGATCAAACTGATTTATTATTTAAAATGTAATTTTTTTTCAGCGAATGATGGAAAAGAATCTAAGAATAACTATTTAGAAATTTAGCAATCATTATTTATTCTAACACCTATTTTTTCAACATTTCCTAAGGGATTTTCAGACTTATCTGATCGGATAAATTTTGCATTTGCGATCGAAATGAAAATTTTTTAGTTAAGATTTTTAAAAGGAAGCTTAATTCTGCCGGAATCGCAGAATGGAACCGCAGTATCACCATTCGGAAGCAAGCCATTCGACGATTCCACTTCCTTTATTTGATATTTGAACAATGATAAATAGAAAAATTATCTAAATCATTGCTGACACAAAAGCAGCGCATGATTAAATGCAATTCCCTTATCTTAAAATAGAAGTAGAAGTAGTGTGTCAGCAGCATCAATCTACTCTTCACATTTACTCTAATCTGCTTTTCAAAACACCTCAAAAATCTTTAGAAAAATAATTTGAATTTGTTTTTATTGGCTTTACAAGTAGGCAAAAAAAATTCATTGCACTGATTTGTAAAATCATTGTCGTTTTGCCCTTTTTAAAACTTTTCTAGTAAATAATACGAATTCAATACGATTAGTTCAGAAAGAATTCCATAAATCCACTTTCTTTTAACGTTTATGTTTTAGCAATGGTTCTTTGAAATTAATTGCTTTCTGTGCTTTTAAAAAAATTTGCGAAATAAAATGAATATGAATACTTAAGATAGGTCTTCCATGGGTAAATTAGAGTTGCACATTTGCATGATTTGCTTGGCTCTTGCTTATAAATAAATATAGCTAAATAAATAGTTTGAAGAAGTATAAGTATCACAAGTAAGCATTTATGAAGCAAAATGGCGAATCGACGACAATCTCAACTCTCGAGATATCTGATACCAAATCAATTTTCCTTTTTTGCTTAGATTCGATAGAATAATCTTAAGAAAACAAAAAATTCATTAAGCCCTCGAGAAGCTATAATTTGGGCTTCTAAAAAAGAGCAAACTTATAAAAATTAATTTAAATTATATAAATTACGATTACGATTTTTATTATTACGATTACGATTTAATTATTACGATTTTTTTTTTTAGAAACAATTTCAGGGATTGTTTAGAAGCAAATTTCAAAAAAATATAAAGGCAAAAATTTAAAAAAATTTTTAAAAACCAAATTATTGTACAATTATAGGGAAAAATTCAAAGTAATTCGATTTGAATTTAAATGAAAAAAAAATTCAAAAAATTTTTATAAAAAATTTTTTTTTAGCAGTTAGCTGAATGATTTTTGGGAAGTTCTGCTTGGGAAGAATCAAAATTTCAAGCCATAGTATAAACGAAGAAAGTGTGTAAAAATTGACGTACATTCGATTAAAAATAGCAATTGGCTTTTTTTCTCCATCCTTTTTTTCGTCAAAACAGATTTTCGTTCCCTGAAAGAGAGATAGGTGGAATGGAGTGGAATGAATTGTTGCTCTCATTTCAAAGTACCGATATTAAGGTTCAAGAAGTTCCTAACAGAAATGAGTATAGTAGCATTTTTC